TCAGGGCAGCCTGCGATCTGCTTTGACTAACGGGATACGGGGCAGTGGTTTTGTGAGCTCAGGACCCTGAACCTCATTTTCAGTGTCCACTTCAATGTGGCACCAAGATTGTCACATAAGGAAGTCACTCTGGTCTGCCAGAGGGTGAAATACCTGGAGGACAGCCAAGGTCCCCTACCAACAGCATAACTGCCAGTCCTGTGGGAGGATCTACCTTGGACCCTCCAGCCCAGCTGACCTCCCACTGAATGTGAGTGAGCCCTAGCAGCCCAGCAGAGGACCCACCCAGCAGGTCCACAGAATAGTGAGGAATGACAAGTCGTTGCTGCTCTGTCACTGAGTTTGGGTTGGTTTGTTACACACCAATAGCTAACTGAGACACCAGGTAGGTCCTTTCTCCATGACTCCCACCTGCAGCCACAGTCCTTCCTGATGACTCAGGACACGTGACCCCAGCACAGCTCCATGCTGGGAATTCTACTTGGGCTTCCTGGGACTGGCATCCATGACGACCCATCAAACAAGAGTTCTCCACCCCTGCTGTGCATTTGTCCCTTTATTACTTAGCAGTGTCACTGAGTGCCCGGCACAGGGCACAAACACACTTGTGCCTGCCAGTCAGATACAAATGCACAAAGCAGACCAGAGCCTCTGCCTGTGGGTCTTGTGTTCTAGCTGACGCAGAAGGAAAAAAGTACAATAAATAAAAAATGAATCATAGTGTATGTCAGATGTGATGGTACCATGGTGACATAGGAGTGCTGGGATTCAAGGGGGTGCATACTGTGATTTTAAATAGAGTAGCCAGGGCAAGCCTCCTTGAGGAAATAAGCCATGCAGGACATTGGGGAACAAGCCTCCAAACAGAGAGCGGGTTCAAATGCCCTGGGGTGGCATGGTGCTGGAGTGTCTGTCTTTGGAGAGCTAGGAGAGACCAGTGTGGCCGAAGCAGAGAGAACAAACAGGCAGGGACACACAGGAGAGGTCAGAGAGAATCCTCTCTTCCTATAAACCTATGAGCATTCACTAAAAAAGTGTTCCCAGGAACCAGTTTGGAAAATACTTAGCTAAGGGATGCTGAATCCGTGGTCCTCTATGTAGACGAGATCATGTGATCAGTGCTAGGACCATGATTTGGCTGAGGACCCTCAGAAAAACATCCCATAGAAGACACTCTGCCTTAAGGCGGAGCCTGGGTAAGGGTGTCCCAGGAGCTGGAGGTTGCGAGAGGATTGTTCCCTGTAGCCTCTTTCAGGGGTAAGAGGGCCAGGAATGCGTGCCCTGCTCCTTCACGTTATGCAAGAAACCCCAATGTGAGTATGTGCTCAGTGTCTAACTTCCCACGGGGCCTGGCACTCCCAGGGGGCAGGGTCGAGTCCCCCTTGTTAAGGGGGTGCTGGGAGACTTGATATGGGCTCCAGAGGCAGGCAGAGTTGATTGGGAGCCCTCCTCTTTATTCCAAGAGGCTCTGGAACAACTTTGCACAAGAGAGAAATGTGTTCTGGGTCTTCATAGGACCCAGGTCTGACCCCCTCTCTGTCTCAGAAGGATGAATCCATTGTGAGACAGACTTTTGGGGCACAGGGACTGCCGGGTAGGAAATGTGGGTCTTCAGGGGCTCAGAGAGCTCGCAGGCCTGCAAGGCAAACGCAGAGCCTGATCTCTGCCGCCCCCTGCAGCCCAAAGGCTGCACTGCAGGCTGTGGGTCTCAATTGGAGGTTGTCATTTGGGGTGGGGTGGAGCGTGCTTTGGTAGAATGGTAGCATGCCCTCGTCGCCATGTACATGTGAAATAAAATTGTAAATTCACATAGAGATATAACCTGAATGTAAATACTTCTATCCAAGATGTTAACTTCGGTTTATACTGAATGCACTCATCTGTCAAGTTCATTTACGGACTGATAGTATATCTCAGAGAATTTTCTAGGAAAAGTGATGTCCATTACAGTTTCCTTTGCTTTTCTTCAGTTTTATTTTTCCTCTCTAAAACCTAGGTCGACTTCTTGGAACTTACATGTGTTGTGTGTGTGCTGCAGGGGTTTTGTGTGTGTGTGGCTTTTAGAGCAGTTGTTCATAAATCCTGAGATGAAAAATTGGGTCAAAGGGAAGTGAGACTAGATTCTGAGTCTTGGTTGGAATGATTTAGGACACACAGGTTCTAGTGGACCCTGAACGCACTGCTCTCCTGTGTAAGGTTGATCCAGAGCCTTCTGGATAAAACCAACTGCTCCTGCCTCTGGAGCCTACAGTGAACATGCACCATGTGCACACCTGGTCACTCATCTGCACACAGCACACACACGCAGACACAGACACGTGTCCATGTTACATAAACGCACCCCATACACACATGGGCACGTGCAGACACCTCCCCATCCCTGAGCTTCCCAGTGCTTCCTGATTGAAAGGTTGCCACACTGTGCGCCAATTACCTGTTGACCCTGTCGCCTGAACTACCAGTTCACTCTGAGATGTAAGTACTGGATAAGGGCGGACGTGGGCCTCTCCCACAGAGTTACTTAATTCTAGCTCTCGTGGCCTGGCCGCCGAGGGAAGGCTTTGGGGCGGTCTCCAGGGAGGACAAGGAATTCAGGAGACAAGTCTTGGGACATGGGATGGGAATATCCTTGGCACCTGTGAAGTGCACCTGACAGGAGCGGCCTCCATTTCCTACTTTTCAATCTCTGGAGCCCGAATAACTTGTCATCATTTCTATCAGAGTGTGAAGAGGTCACAAGAGGAGGGCCAGCAAAAATGAGTGACCCGGGCTGGGATGCAGCTCAGTGGTAGACCTCTTGCCTAGCATTCATGAGGCCCTGGGTTCCATCCCCTGCACCACCACCAGAGAGAGAGAGAGAGAGAGAGAGAGAGAGAGAGACACCAGGTGTTATAGTAAGTATCTGGGAGGTTTTGAGTGGAGACAGCCCCAGAACTTGGGTTCCTGCTCCAGAAAACTGAAATGCAGCTCAGAGTGAATGGTCACAGCATTTGAAAATGAAGTGCGCTAACCCAACCAGAGCCACGCCACCCTCTAAGTAGAGACTTTGCCAGTTAGAAACACCCAACTGAGGACTTCCCACTTCAGTCAGCCGTGTTCCTCCTCTCCTGCTTCGGGCACACCTTACAAAATCAGCCCCCACACGCCCACTGGAGGAGCCCTGAGCAGCAGCTTGTGTTCTTCTAATACAAAAATCAGAGTCCGCTCAAATAAACTCTTGCTGGGTGTGGTAGTTCATGTCTGTAATCCCAGAGACTCGGAAGGCTAAGACAGGAGGATTGCAAGTTTGAGGCCAGCCTCAGCAATTTAGTGAGGCCCTAAGCAACTGAGCGAGACCCTGTCTCAAAACAAAAAATCAAACAGGCTGAGGAGGTGGCTCAGTGGTTAAGCACCCCTGGGTTCAATCCCAGTACCAAAAAGAAAAAAAAAAATCTAAGTATGCCTCAGTTTATCTTTTAATCCATGAGTAAAGGAGATGAGCTGGCCATGGGAATATGAATCAGGGGTCAAGCTGACCACAGAACCAGACAGAAGGCAGGTCAGGCGGGGATGGAGAGCCGAGGCCCTGTTGGCATCTGGGTGAGTCCAGCACTGGCCATGGGGGCCCAAGCTTAGAATCCCAGTCCTGCTTGAGGTTCCTGGATGACTCCTCCAGGTTCCCAGATGCACCCCGTGGCCAGACAGGCACAACCTGGCACTCCAACCGAGGCCCCACTCACCGAGCCCCAGATGCAGAGGCTGTCCCCCGTCCCACCTTCCTGAGTGGCTCTTTCTGCCTAGAATGCCCGTCACCTCACTCTCTGTCTGGACCACTTTTTCCCTGAGGCCCAGGTTGAAGGCACAGCCCTCCCTGGTGACTCTAGCTCTGTGCTTGCTTCTGGAGTCCTCCTTACACTGCCCATGGACATCCTCCCAGAATCTACAGAGGTCCCCTCACCCGTTAGAGACTGTGCGCTTACTCAGCACCTTCTGTGGACCAGCTGCAGACACAGGTGACGTGAAGGCCATCGTGTCCCTCCTCTGCTGAAAGCCTTCCCAGAGCGCCCCTTTGCACCCAGTGTATGGACGCCCTTCCTTGGGCCTCAAGGCCTCTCTGGCCCACGCCTGCTGGTCCCCAGTGTCCCTTCCTGCCCCTCCCCACCCCCAGCCTTGTCTCAGGGCCACAGTGGATGCTATTTCTCTGCCTGGGTCACTCTGAGTCCCAGCTCCTTCCTGTCCTTCGGCCTCACCAGAGTCCAGGCCCCGTGCTGCCCTCCCTGAGGGACTCGGCACTGAATCCCGGGAGCTGCCTCATCTGTTTGCTTTTTCTCTTTCTTGTCCATTTTATTTGCTGGTCCGTGTTTCAGCCTCTCGAGGACAAGCTCCAGGGGGATAGGCTTTGTTGGTCATTCGGTCCTCAGCTCCTAGAGTGGAACACAGACTTGTGGAACAGCACTGGACTCAGGTGGGCCAGGTCTGAGCTTGGCCTTCAACATGGAAGCCCACCGGACCTTCAGCTAGCCATGTCACTCTCTCAATGTCCTCGTGGTCAAGTGCAGCGAGAATACTTGCTTAGCTGGGTCGCTTGGAGGAAGAAGCCACACTGCTCCTACAAGTTCTGACTACGGTGAGACTCCTGAGCGTCCAGGAAGGTGGTGCTGAGGGGTTGTGCACAGAAGGAACAGCACCAGCAACCCACCCTATTGGACACGGAAGGACAAACCCCCTGCCCCAGCCTGAGCCCAGCCACAGCCCTCCATGAAATGGAGGAGGATCCTGCTCTGAGGACCTGTGCTAGCTGTGGGCCAGGCTCCAGCCCAGCATTCCCCACTATGCCAGGTCACGCCACTCAGGGCCCCCCTGGGAGCTTACACTCAATGCGTCCGGGAGCTGTGGTGGCCTTCCAAGAAGAATCCCCACATGCCCCACAGCCCTTGCACTGAACACTGTGCACAGGACAGACTGAGGCCCCGTGGTCATCTCCTGTGGCCACACTCACCAGTTACCACAAACTCCGCGGCTTAAAGCAACACAAGTTTATTCTTTTTCATGTTCTGGAGGTCAGAAGTCTGAAAGTGTGTCAGGGACTTCTGGGGACTCTGAGGAGGATCTCTTCCCTGGCCTTTTCCAGCCACCAGAAACACTTGCTTGGGTGGCATGTGGCTCCCTTCTCCATCCCCAAACCCAGCAGCATGGCATCCTCCAATCCCCCTCTGCCCCTGACCCTCCTGCCTCCATCTCACGTGTCCCTTGTGGTGACCACAGGCCCACCAGGGAGCTCAGGGTGCTTAACCGAGTCACACTTGCTAAGTGACTTGGCAGTGAAGGGTACACACTCAGATTCTGCCCACCACAAGTGGGATGAGCTTGGCTTGGGGGCACAGGCTGGACTGCGCCTCCTGCCTCCCTACCGACTCTGTTCAAAGTAGAACTCAGTGCGGGCCGAGGGCTCGCTCTCCTTGGCAAGCCGCACCGGCTGCTGGGGCTCCTCCGGGCCGCAGAGGAACCAGCCAGGGCAGGCGGCTGCCTCCAACCTGAAGGCGGAGCCCAGGCTGCTCTGGAAGAAGGTGAATCGCGTGGCCCGTTCGCCTCCCTTGTACAGGTCCTCGATGTTCACGTCCTGCGGGGGCAAGGTGGCCGCTGCAGGACCAGGGTGCTGATGGGGTGTGGCCTACAGGCCTCTGGGGCTCTACCAAAAGGGACGTGCCTTGTGCAGATTCCCACAGGCAAGGCTCTTAGTTCTGGGCACAAGGGGGAGGGTGGAAGTCTGAGGAAGGGGACGGGTGGCCCCGAGGAAGGGGGACAGTGGCCCTGACCAAGAATCCACAAGTGGGTGGAGAGCACCTCGGGGCCATGCAGGGTCCGCACCGCCCCCGTAGAGGGGCGGGGTCTCACCTCCAGCTGCAGGGAAGGTCCCTCTTCTGTCTGCACACATGCCAGGCAGCGGCTCCCTCCCTGGAGCCCCAGGAGGATGGGGACCTTGGCCCGGTCCAGGTCCCTGTTAGGAAGTACGCAGATCTTCTCTGGGAAGAGGACAGAGACCGGAGATGAGGGCAGCCCAGGCTGAGGGTCTCAGGGAGCAGACGCCCTGCAGGCCTGGCCACACCTGGGCTGTAGGGCCAGCAGGACTCTGCAGGGTCCTTTTGGGCCAAAGCTTCCCCCTGCCTCTTTCTGTCAGGGGACAGCTGCTGCCCGTCTGGTGGGGACAGAAACACAGAGAAGTGGGGGCTGCGGTGGACGGAGCATGGCGCAGGGCCCGGATGGAGGCCGCGGAAGCTCACCAGCGCTGCAGTCAGCGGTGTCGGGGTCGCCCACCAGCAGCTGGCCATCTCTTGTGTACAGCGCCTTCTGATCCGCATCCTTGATTCTGGAACAGGACGGCAGCGCTGAGGGTCTGTTGCATTCAGGCACCACTGAGACCCCAAGCCCTTCCTCTAACCCGCCGCACTGAGCGGGGGGCATGCTTGCTTCTCCACGGGAGCAGGTCAAGACGGCTCTGTCTTAATGAAGCAGAGAAGACCTCCTCCCCTGGGCTCCTGGTTTCCAGAGGCTTGGAAGAGTGAGGGGAGCCAGCCTTCTCGTGGAGCGGTAGAGAAAGTTCTCTCACCAGGCTCAGGTGTCTCAGAGATACAGTGAGCCTTATCCCAAACTTTCCCAGCTTGCTCCAATTTTTATCAATGTTTATTCTATTTAATAAAAGGACTAATCAAGTGGATAATGAAGCATGATTTGCTTCTTCAGATATTTTAAAGACTTTCTGTAGGAGAAAATCTGCAAATTGGAAAACAAAAATTGAAATATGCTGTACTAGGTAGGTGTCCATCCAGCCCCTGGGAGCCAGGGCCTGGTGTGCTCCAGGTGGACCAAATACAGGTCAGCAGAAAGCCCAGGCAGAGCCAGATTGCAGTCATCTGGGGGTGGCTGTGGTCCTAATGACCAGCCTGGAAGGGCAGGAACGTGCCGGGCAGGCTGGGGAGAAACCCAGGTGAGCAGGTGGAACGGCAGAGTCTCGCAAGCAGCTTGGTTGCCCGGCTGGTTTCCAAGATGCCCATCAGCTGCTCCCAGAGCCTGGGGAGCTCTCGACAGGTTTGAGGGCAGAGTCTCTGGACCCATGCCACCGCCTCCAAGCCCTCTCTCCCTCAGTGATAGCCGGGTATAATACCTTCAGCTACTGGCTGTGTGTTTAAAGCAGTTTCACTTGTATATGAAAACAGATCTGGACCATCTTGGGCTTGCCCGTGGATGTTCTCCCTCACACCTGGACAGCCGGCAGCACCCCACTTGGAGACCAGAGAACAGTAACCGAGGATGCAAATGAGGCTAAATGCAGGTCAGGGTTGGGGGCCTGGGCTCAGGGCCAAGGCCACAGACAACACCAGGAAGACAGTGTCACTGGGATTCAGGGTTGCCTCAGCTTTCAGAGAGGCCGCTGTGGCCACACAGGTGACATGAACTCCACCCCAGGCTCTGCCTTTTGGTAGCCGCCTGGCATGGCGGCACCAGGCGCCTGGTTCCCAGAGTTGGTAATGTTTTCTTTACAGGTTTCTCAGGGTGGGGGTGAGGATAGAACGGCTGGTATCTCAGAGAATCTGGGAAAGAGAGCTGTTGTCGCTGCAGAGTGTGATGATGGAGAGTGATTACGGGTTTCTGTGGAGTCCCTGACCAGCCTTCCTCCCTCTCCCTATGTGGGCCCAGCCCCGTGGGCAAGTAGGGCCACAGCAGGACGACTTACATGTAGTATTTCGCCATGGGGAGGGAGCACATCTTGTAATCAGGGGTGTCTGGTCCTCACTGAGGGAGAGAGAGAGGGTTTGTTAGGGAGGGGCAGCAGGCAGGCGCATGCATCCAGGGTGCAGAGACACCCAGGGGCACAGAGTCACCTGCAACAGGCTGCAAAAGCCACCTAGCTCTAACCAGCCTGCTAGAATCCAGCAACGCCCCAGCCCAGCCCATCCAGCTCCAAGGAGCTCTGTGTCTTCCTCACTGGGGATCCGGAGGAGCCAGTAGGGCTGTGAACCTGGAGGGGGTGTGTGCCTGTGCGTGTACACATGTGTGCGTGTACACATGTGTGCATGCGCACACGCATGCGCTCACTTGTGCCCATCTCTGGTGCTCTCTCTGGGAAACTGGAAGACAGGTCCCCCAAATAACTTAGCAGGACGCTTCCTGGCTGAGAGGGGCTGTGTGATTGAGCCCCACAGCTGGAGATGAACCTGAAGCAGATCCTGTCCCACTTCCCAGCCTGGAGGTCACCACATTCCTGTCCCCTGACCTAGCAAGGGCTTCCATGTCCCAGAGCCCGAGCGCAAAGGGAAGAGCAGCATGGCTAGGAGGCCTCTCCAGCCACGGGCCAGGCAGGGTCTTCCTGCAGGGCTAGGCACGCCCCTCCCAGGGACTCATGTTGCTCTGCGGGGCCTTAAAGGAGCCCACCCCCCTGTCCTGGTGTGCTCCCTGTGGAAAACGGGTCAGCCCTCGGAGTCAGAGGCTCCTGCAAAGAGACTGTCCCTGTGTAAGCCCGGGTGCAAAGCTTCACAGGACCCTGCTCCTTCCTCAGGGGGGTCATCCTACCCCAGAGTGCCACCAGGAAATGACCACCTGCAGAAAGGCCAGCCCAGACTCCGGCATGGAAAGCAGCCAACCGTGAGAATGGCCAGGGCTGCAGTTGGCCAGGGGCGTCTGTGGAGTCCCTGAGCAGCCTTCCTCCCTCCCCCCATGTGGGCCCAGCCAAGGGAGAAGGGAGGAGAGAAGAAACACACACGGGAGAACACAGGAAATGAGACAGGAAAGAAGCCAGAGGGCCACCAGAAGGAGCAGGGCTAGAGGGGCAGGGTGATACCCCGGGCACTGGGGCGGCGGGCGAGGGGATCGGCTGTGGCTGAGAGCTCCAGCCCCATGGCCTGGGAGCTGAAGAAGTAGGGCCGAACCCAAGGTGTCCTTGGGTCCTGGATCTGCCACTGTCCCCTTGGGCAGGTCACTTTGGATCCCTGGGCCTTGAGGCAAGAGTTTGGGGGTTGGTGGGAGTGAAGGAGAGCAGGGTAAGGGGGCAGATGCCGGCTGGACACGGGCGTTAGGGTCATCCCACAGCTCTGAGGTGGCATGAGTTGTCCTTGGTCTAAATAAAATGACAGATGGCCCAAATGTCCAGTTATAACGATGCACACTGCATCGCTTTTTATAATATGGTGAAGATGGGAAAAGCCTAAGTGTTCTCAACGAACCTAAAAGGCAATTGGTTAAAAAAAATTACAGCAATTGCAGTAAAGAAGACGTATGTGTACACTGAAGATGACATCATCGGCGAAGGTTTAGAAGGTGAAATTTTCAAATACACCTGGGAAACGCGCAGGCTATGAGTAATACGTACATGACAGCCCGTCCACACACATACAGAGATGCACACGTGTTAATAAAGACAGCTAGTGTTTTTATGACACTTGTCTATGACCGATAGGATTATGAGTGACTTTTTAACAGCTTTCCACATTTTTCCTATAATAACCCCAAAGTTTCTTTGTAATATAAAGTTATTTTTTTAATTAAAAAAAAAAGTGCTCAGTCAAAAATCATTGGCTCCCAAACATGCTTGACCACCTGGATCACCTGGGGGACTTTTTTTTCGGGGGG